AGAGCTGAATGGAGGCAACAATGTAACAGAGCTGGAGCTGGAGCCCTGCTGAGCAAAGGAGAGCCTTTTGAAAGGAATAAATACACCTGCAGGTAGATGTTGGTCGTCTGGGTTCAGGAATTGAGATTTTAAAAAGGCAGTAGGAAGACAGCATGGGATCTTATTCAATGAGAAGTTTGTTGTAGAACTGTGAACAGGGTAAATTGAAAGCTGTTTCGTGTCCTGGCTACTTCCTGTCTGCTCTCTGCTTCTTGACTTGGTGAGGTGTATCCTTTGTGAAGCTATAAGCCAAAATAGAGTCTTCCTCCCTTAAGTTACTTCTCGTCTAGTGCTTGGCCCTCACAATGAGAAGAACTTATGCACAAGCTGAAGAAATGAGACGCAGGGAGTCCAGCTGGAGGTCGTTGAAACGAAGCAGTATGAGGCAACACACAATGGCTGGTAATGGAAACAGGAAAACCCAGGAATGCCAAAGGGATCTGGTGGTTTGCATAAGTTTGCTCCCCCTCACTCCAGACTCAGCTTCTCTTTACAGGGATCACAGGGGTATATCCCACTCACAGCTCCAAAGTCACTGGACCTGAGGGTGACTTTACCTATAGTAAACTATAGTCACTCATACCTGTCATTAGGAAGCTGCTGTGAATCTGACCAAAAGCTTCTAGCTTAAACCCCTCCCCACCCTCCAGGGTTAGGAGCCATTGAGCAAGCCTAGTATGAACCATCCCCAACCTGTGGTGTGACACGAAAAATAAATGGACCCAGAGACAGATATTAGGGTTCAAGCTTCAAGCTGAAGATCAGAAAAGCAAAGCAGCTAGCCACTAGCTCTTACCTCTACCTCAGGCTGAATGGGCTAATCCTGTCTCCTTGAGTTCTCACCAAGCCTCAGACTGTACCCTCTCCTCAGCATGGTTGGAGAATGAATACCTCCTACTGACTCTGTTCCTGTCTTAAATATCTCTCATGCATCCAGGGACTAAGGGCATGAGGTCTGTTACTCTTTTAAACTGATTCAATGTTGTATAAGCCTGGGTGGCCTTGAACTCAGGGAGATCCATCTGCCTTTGTCTCCTGAGTCCTGGAATTAAAGGTATATGCCACCACTGCCTGACTTCTATAGCTTGACTCTGACTTTGCTTTCTGAATCCTCAGGCAAGCTTTATTAAATCATAAATAATATATATCAATATACTATAGACAGCAAAATTTGTACTTAGTGTTTCAGGAAAGCTCTGGCAAGCATGTTTGTGAAACACTGGTAGCAAAAAATGTTTCTTTGTTCATTAATCCTCTCATGAAAAATCTACAGAATTCCTACAACGCCATGATCTATGCAGCTTGGTCTGTAGATAGACCCTGGCTAGGGACAGCAAGGGAATGAAGAAAGAACATATAGTAAAGCTAGGATTAGATGGTGTTCTGCTACAAGCTACTGCTGCAACCCAAAATCTCAGTGTGTTTATTAGGTACTGTTGTGGAGGGCGGGGAGGATTGACTACTTCCGGTAGGAGTTTTCTGTAGGTGAACAGTTTGAGGCTGTAAATGTCCATGAAGAAGAAACCACAATTGCTAGTGTTGACACAGTCTGGTCGGTTGTCTATGAACTCTCAGACTCACGGTGATGGCTTTGTCAGTATCCCATTGGTCCAAGACTTGGGAGTCCTCGACATGGCTACGTCACGTCAGCAGTGCACATTTGCTCAGGACTTCACACTCAGCAGCGTCCTTGGGCTTTGCAGTCCCCACCCTACCACAGCTGCCCTCGTGCCGCACCTCTGCTGCTTCCTCTGTGAGGCCTGTAGCTTCTGGCTGGGCCACACATCTGTGCTTCTTGCATTTTTCTGTCTGTAATCCAAATCGTGAATCAGGCCAAAGCCACCAAATCTTCATCAGTGGTGATTCTAACGCTACATACAAAGACAGTATCTAGTGTGCTTTTGTGCATTTTGATGAGGACCACAGTGTTTTAGGTGTAGACATCATTGCACCTGTGTGAAGACAGAAGAACACAGTACTAGACATGAAGAATCCAGGGCTTTCTAGACTGTGCCCATAAAAAGGATGAAGAAGGACTGGGAGAGGGTTGGGGGATTCTAGATTAGAAACAGAAGGGGTTTGTTTTTTTTTTCTTTGAAGACGTGTGTGTGTGTGTGTGTGTGTGTGTGTGTGTGTGTGTGTGTGTGTGTGTATGCCTGTCTATATGAGATTATATACAGGTGAGTACTGCTACTCAGAGCCATGGGTGTCAGATCCGCTGGAACTGGAGTTGCAGGTGGTTGTGTGCCACCTGATGTTGGTGGGGGGAATAAAGTCAGGTCCCCTGGATAAGCAGAGGTAGTAATCTATCTCTGCAGCCCACCCCCAAATAAATAGTTTATAAAAATAAATAAGATATAGAGACATGGAGGATGATTCTCCCAGTGATCTCTGTCCTACACAAACATACTGTGTGTGTGTGTGTGTGTGTGTCCATAAAATATTTCTATTTGAAGGAGTTTCAAAAGCATCAAGGTATTCAATAAACATATTGAAGTCAAGTCTCGTGGTATTTGTCTTATACTAAACTTTTAAAAAGTAGTTTAGTCAAAGTCAATTCAGAGGATGAGAAGAAGGATGGCTGTTGGTGACGCGAAGAAGGCTTAGTGTGCTCAGTGGTCCTTTCGGTTAAACACTTGCCCCTTTAGAGTGCATCTGGTTCCTTTTGGTTAAACACTTGCCCCTTTAGAGTGCATCTGGTTGGCAAGTAGTTTATTTGTTCAGTTTTTAATCGAATTTAACCATTTAGAAGTACCCTAGGTCAGGGGCTGGAGAGGTGGCTCAGAGACTAAGAGCACTGACTGCTCTTCCAGAGGTCCTGAGTTCAATTCCCAGCAGCCATGTGGTGGCTCACAACCATCTAACAATTTACTCTGGTGCCTTCTTCTGGCATGTAGGCAGGACACTGTATATGTAATAAATAAATAAATCTTAAAAAAAAAAAGAAGAAGAAGTACCCTAGGTCACTGACTGACAGTCAAACATCACAAGACTGTGTGTTTGTCTGAGCAATGAAACATCACTATGAAGTGTATGAGCTGTTTTATAAGAGCGCCATCCTGGGGGGCTGGCAAGATAGCTCAGTGAATAAGATCCCTGCCACTAAGGCCAAAAACCTAAGGTTGACTGCTAGAATCTAATTCACATGGAACAAGATGAAAACTGATGCCTGCAAGTTGTCCTCAGAGAAAGAGAGAGAGAGAGAATATGAGTCCTAAAAGATTAAAGAATACCATTCTGTTCAGATGACAAGAAAAAACATCTGTGAAGTATAACCATGCCTTCTGTTACCACCTATCTGTGTGTGACTGAGACTCCACTTTGTCTATATCACAAGCTATTCCTGAGCTCTGAAGCTAAATACTAGGTGCTTGCTCAACACTTCCTCTTGGAATCTCATGAGCATCTCAGGGTGAGCACATCCAGGACCAAATTGTGAACTTTTCTAAGGTCAGGAGTTCAAGGTCATCCTCCATGACATAGAACGTTTAAGGCTAGCCTGGGATATAGGTGACCCAGTCTCAAAAGGGAGGGGAGGGGGCTAGAGGTGACGTAGAGATGTATCTCAGTTAGTGGAGGGCTTGCCTAGCATGCACAAAGTCCAGGGTTTCATTCCCTGTAACACATGAACCAGGCACAATGAACCAGTCCTACAATCCCAGCACTCAGAAGATAGAGGCAGACTGATCTGAAGTCCAAAGCCATTCTCAGTGACATAGAGTTAAGTTTGAGTCTAGTCTGCTCTACATGAAGCCCTATCTCAAAAGACAAATAAATAATAAAGGTAATAATGATAGCCTATATTGGTTAAAAATGAGGAGAAAAGAATTTTTTTGAGTCTCTTCCCATAGCCTCATATTTGGTGGTGTGAACCCATGTTTTTTCCTGGGAATTTTAGAGGAATTGAGAGCACCATGGCCAGAAGGGTATCGTTGAAGTGGCACTGTGAGGCTTCCTAGTCACAAGAGGAACCTCTTAATGCTCTCCTGAAGCATTCCCTCTCACAGTACCCCCTGGGGACTCAAGCACTATCTGTGAAAAGTTTCTTGGACATTGCAGAACTAGATGTTCAAGTCGTTAGTCCCAAATGGGACTGATTGATGATTGCATGAATAAGTCTTCTTGCTGGAATCAGATCCCTGGTAATTCACCTAGTCTACCCCCAGCCAGTGGAATTATCCCCAGTTGTTGTGGTTTAAAAGTAAAATGTCCATTGACTGTGTGTTTAATGGCTTGGTCTCCAGTTGGCACTGTTTGGGAAGATTGTGGCAGCTTGCATAGATGGAGCCTTCCTCAATGAGGAAGAAACCTTGAGGTTTTATCTCCACTTTCTGTTCATTCTCTATTTCCTGACTCTGAATGCATTGTGACCAGCTGGCCTCCTGCCCCTGCTGTTGTACCTTACTCCCTAATGAACTGTGTCTCCTTGAACTGTAAGCCAGAGTAAACTCTCCTTCCCTTGAGTGCATCTTGTTGGATGCTTTGTCACAACAAACAGGAATCTACACCAGACCAGCCTTCCCAACTGAGATCCATCAAGAAACAGCTATGCCATCTTCACAGAGCCTTGTTTAAAGTCCTGACCCACAAAAAATATCTGCGAATAAAAAAATGACTATTGTTTTATGCCACTAATTTTGAGGTGGAGTGAAATAGATAACCAGAATGGGGATATATTCAAAAACCTTTAAGACAACATATTAACATTCTGATTTTTTTTTTTAAGATCATGCTGAAAGATGTGGGAAGAAGAGTATAAAAATGCTTATTAGTCACTAGTCACAAAGTATCTGACAGCAACTTGAGGAAGGAAGGGTTTGCCTTGACTCATACTCTGGGTGTGTCTATCATGGCAGGGAAGCCTAGTGGGCAGAGTATAAAGCAGCTGTTCACAGTGTGTCACAATCAAAAGCAAAGAAAAATGAGTGTTGTTCATCTGGCTTCCTCTTTTTCATCCACAGGCTTTACTGCAAAGACAAGAAGATCACTGCAGGTTTCAGGACAACCAGGGCTACATAGTAAGACCTTGTTTCAAAAAATAAAAAGAAAGGAAAACATTAACCACTACCCCCCAGCCAGGGTTTCTCTGTGTAGCTCAGGCTGTCCTAGAACTCTCTCTGTAGACCAGGCTGACCTTTTATCACAGTCTAGAGGCTACACGTCTTAAAGATCCAGGCAGTTTAATCTCTTGTGAAGCTCTCTTCCTTGTCTGTGGACATCCCCTGTCTAGAGGTATCCTCACATAGCAAAGAAAGACAGTAGTAGAGAGTTTCTTGATACCTAATAACAACAAAGGTACTAATCTTACTAGTTAGGGCCACAGGCTTAAGACCTCATGTAACCTTAATTACTTTCTTGCTGTAAAGATACCCATGCTCAGAGTCATGGCTTCATTGTTTCCATTTGAGAAGACACAGACATTCATTCATCTGTAGTCAAGAAGAGTGTCTTATTCATGCCTCACTCCATCATCAGTGGTGCATAGGCTACACTTGGCTTGACCCCCCCTGCCTGCTCATCCTCGCTTAAGCTAAACTTTTGCATGGATCAAGCTGTAATAGGAAGACATACAATCAGTTAATCAGTGAAATGACTTCTCAACTTGTAATGATGTATCGCTTTTTACTTGTTAACAACCAAAACAATAACGTTGGTCAGCAGCAAGACAGTCTCAGAATTGGCTCATCAGTGTGTGGCTCAAAGGCCTTTTTGGAAAGCAGTTTGGCAGAATGTCTTAAGAGACTAAAATATTCAGACTGTTGAGCCAATAACTAATCACAGACTCCATCTGCGGTAGATTATGAGCGAGCCCTACCCCCTAGTATTCCCAGTGCTCTCCTTTCTAAGACAGGGATGTAAAGGCATAAGAAGCTCCCTGTGGTCTTGCATTTACTCAGGAGTCACTCCCTTTGGGAAGCCGGTTGTCATATCACATGAATAGTCCTGCATAGTGGTCCTTGTAGCAAGGAACTAAAGCTTCCTGCCGGAAATCCCTGGAGTGGGCTCAGGAGCATGTATTCGTTTTCATCACTGTTATCCAATCCTGAGGAAGTGTCTCTCACTGAAGCCAGAGCTCCGTGCTGCAGGAGACTGGCTGAATCGTGAGCTCCCAGGACCTGCCTGTCTTCTGCCCTTCTTTCCCTCCCCTAGAGCTGGGGCTACAGATGCACACTGGGGATCCCAGGTCCTCAAGCTTGCACAGCAAGCACTTGCCCACTGAGCCAGCTCCCTAGCCCCTAAAAACACTTTTGAAGGGTTTTAGTAATATACATTTGTCACATTTCCGTTTTTTTTAAAATGATTTACATGAATGGAAAACTTACATATACCTACTTTACTATCTCCTGTGTGCATAGGATATAATTCAAAACAAATTATTTTGTCCTATTGGGTGAAGCAGTTAACACACCATCCTTTTCTTATATTGCCTAATGATTCCTGAAGACATATTCATTACAGACCTCTTCAATGCATTTCTACAAGGAATGTTACTTATAAGCTTAATAAGTGCCTTTTTTCCCGATATATTGATGGCATGCATCATTCACCCTTACATACAACCTACTTTTAACCCTAGAAGATAAGAGAGCTGGAGAGATGGCTCAACGGGTAGGAGTACTTGATACTCTCCCAGAAGATCCTGGTTCTATTCCCAGCATCCACATAGTGGCTCACAACAGTCTATAGCTCCAGTTCCAGGGGATTTGATACTTCTTCTAGCCCCTATAGGTAATAGGCATGTATGTAGTACACAGACATGCATGCAGAGAAAACACTCATACACATAAAATTTTTCAAATTAGCTGGGTAGTAGTGGCACATGCCCTTAATCCTAGCACTCAGCAGGCAGAGGCAGGAGCATCTCTGTATGTTCAAGAACTACCTGGTCTACAGAACTAGTTCCAGGACAGCGTGGGCTGTTACACAGAGAAACCTTGTCTCAAAAAAACAGAAAAAAATCAAATTAAAAAACATATTAAGCATGCATATATTTCTATTGTGTTAAACAAAATAGAATCCAATTACTGTGTATCTGATAATTATCTCTACCACTTACTTGTGTTTGGTCTTACTCAAAATATGTTCTTCCTTAACCTGTTAAGTAATTAAGAATTATGATATTTAAAACTTGAGGTGGAAGGTGACATGTTAAGTAATGTAGAAATATCATCATCCAATAGGATGAATCAGATTCCCTTCATCTCCTTCCTTTAAAGCCTGAAATTCAGATAGTTGGGAAGCTTTCCTATATTTGTCTCATTTTCATCTTTAAGATTTTGTTTATTTTTATTTTTAATTATCTGTGGCAGAGTACACATGAATACAGTGCCCACAAATTCCAGAAAGCATCAGATTGCTGCAGCTGGAGTGACAAGCAGTTGTGGTCACTTGACCTGGGTGCTGAGGTCCTCACAACTCAGTATGTGCTCTTAATGGTTGAGTCATCCGTCCAGCCCCATACTCTATTTGACAAGTACACCAGATGTAGTAACCACACCTGTGATCCCAGAACTCAGAAACTCAAGGCCATCCTCTGCTGTGTTACTATATGAGACCCGCCCCCCCCAACAAAAATAATCAAAGGAAGTAATGTAAGCATTAAAATGTGATATTAAGGGAATCTAGTCAGTTACCCAACCCATACTTAGGTTGTACTTATGACAACAGTGACCCAGAACATGAATCTAAAGTGGGTAGCATGAACTAAAGTATCTGTATAGAGTAGCGTGTGAGGGTACATTTGGTGATACACATACTCATTTCCTGCACATGCTCCAAGCTGAGCACATTGCCAACCTCTGCATAATTTAAAAACATTCTTTCCACTGCACAGATGGTCAGCTTCTGAGTTTCTAAAACTCCTGATCAAAACAGTTTATCACAACAGATTCTGGCTTCTCCCTGGCCCAGCATGTTTGTGATTGTCCAGTGGCCATGGACCTAACCTTGAAGCCCTCATAGCCACGGTAACAAATGACCTCCCGTGAATAGAAACAAATGTTTTACCATACCAACAAAGCAGCTCAGAGTGTGCATCTCAGACAAAAAGTGAAAAGAAACAGGTTCTTAGTAACACACCAGTGTTCACAGCCATCCCACCCCAGATGTCCATATACTCAAGTGACTAGACCACCAATGTTGCCATCTCAGGCAGCATCAACCTACTCTTCCTATTACCTCAAACAGCTTTACCAAGCAAAATAAATCTTGAGCAAAGTAACATGATACCTAAATTATGATACCTCTGACAGTTATTCAGTATACATAGTGACATATATTACCCCTTCCTAAAATAAAGCCCATCAAAAATAAAATTCACTGAGTAGATCATCTTTTTATATATAATAAGTCTTCAGTAATATCTTTGTATATGACCAGGCATGTTGTTACTCCCCTTTAATCCCAGCATTTGGGAGGCTGAATCAAGCAGTCTTCTAAGTTCTAGGACACCAGGGCTATATAAAGAGACCCTGTCTCAGACAAATAACTACATAAATACACAAAGAAACTTCACATAAGACTGGATGGACATTACAACACAGGCCTAGAATCTCAGCACTTAGGATGCTAAAGAAAAGAATACTAATTACAAGGCCACCCTAAGCTATGTACTGAGACCTTGTCTTCACACGTACATACACAAAGCTGAGGATATAATTCAATGATAGCATGTTTTCCTGGCATGCTGCAAGTCCTTGGTTCAGTCCCTAGTACCACAAAGGGAAAAAGAAAACTTTCTGTAGAGGGTATGTTGTACACATCCATGTCCCAGCACTTAGGGTAGGTGTGAGGAGATCCAGAGTTCAAGGTCATCCTTGAACGTAAGAAGTTGAGACCCAGTCTAGCCTACATGAAACCCTGCTCAAAATAAATAAGTATATAGGATTACATGTGTGAAAATCTCAGATAAAATTTAAATTGGTTTTTAAGCCTGCACATACTGTACTGCAGTAAGTATATCTAAATCGTTAACTCTGACTACATTCAGCCCCTTCACACCCATTCTGTGTATCTGATGTTTAAAGAGACTGGTTTAGATGTGGCTATCATACCACAGTTTTCTTGGCATTTTTAAATTATGCATTAATTTTTCTAGAGCATATTTTCTTAGTATATACATGATAGTCTGGTAGAAATTAATAGAAGGATTGTGCTTCATTAATAACCCAAGTTCATAATAGGTAATAACTTGATGTTCAGGGAATAACATTTCTGATTAACTTGGGAGCAGAGTTATTAACTTATGGTCCAATTAAGTTATGGCAGTAGGTTTCAGGGGACCATAAATTAATTGTTTCTGGTTATCTGAATAATCTTTTTCAGAAATTGTATGTTCCATGAATAATTTAAAAATATAAAAGTGGTGAATAATAAAGAGTCTAAATCCCAGTTAGAAATACGTCATGAACAGAACTAAACCCTTGGTGGCTTCAGGTCCTGCAATTAGCCTTTACATATACACAATTACATATACACATAGACAGTAATACACAGTAAAATTAATGTGTAATTTTAACATGCCACAAAAATGGCTAGTCACATCTAACGTGTGTTGAAAGCTTTGTCTCTGTGTGCGTGTATTTCTGTTCTTTTCTATACCTGGACCATGAGCTTCTTGGGGACAGGCAGCTTATCAGTCTTCATATCTAAATTGCTTTGCAGAGATCTGGCCCACAGTGTGTAAATGAGTGTATTACACACAACCAAAAGTTAATCAAGAGTCATAAATTGAGTTATTTTTAAATAACTTTTTATAAAATGTATGCATGTATGTGTATGCATGTTCGCCACGTGTGTGACTGGTCCCATGGAGTCCAGAAAAGAACATCAGGTTCCTTCTGACTGGAGTTACAGACTTTTGTGAGCTGCCATATGAGTGCTGAGCCAGGTCTGCAAGAGCAACAAGTGTTCTTAACTACTCCATAATTTCTTTTTAGTTAGCATCCTGTTTTGAGGTCCATCCCTGGAATACCATGTACCAGTAGTTCCATTATAATTGTATTGTGCCCATTAGCTTTTTTTAAAAAACAAAGAACTCCATAATAAATTCAGCTGATAAACAGGATTATATTCACTTAACCAAAAGTTATTGAAAATTAAATGATGCCTAAATGGTTAAAAATATAAAAATGATTAGGACCTATGGCCATCTGTCAGAGAAATAGATATATAATCACTCACACAATTTGGGGGAATTTAACACTGTATCAAACAACAACTAGGTAATGTTTTTCAAAAGAAATATTTGTGGGAATATTTGAGAATATTCTTCAAAGTATATTTATACTGGAGATATTCAGTTTAGTGGATAAAGAATAGAAAATAATCCCTTGGAAGAGAATTATATTTCAAAAATCCTACAAATATAAAAGTAGTATTTAACTCAAGAAATAACTAAGTGTCCTGTGTAGCTGAAATGCAGGTCTCACAGGGGATATTTTGGATAACAATTGGGCCCAAAAGTTATTGCTTGTTACTGTAAAGGGGGGTAGAGTTTATAGATTTATAAGAAAATGAGAGACACAAAAGGGTAATTATTTTGATTATTTATTTCAGCCAAGATAGGAAGGACAAAGGAAACAGAAGAGAGAAAAAGAAAAGATTTGATAAATACATATTACACACCTTACACACCGTCACAGGTGCTTGTATGTTCACCAGGGTTTGTGTCCATGTGTCACTGCCATCCTTGCTTTCATGGAGCTTATGCTCTGATGAAGGAGACAGACAATAATTCCTCCACCAAAGGAGACTATGAGGAGCGTGACATGATCAAAGAGAAGCTGTTTAAAGCAGAGGAGGAGATAGGAAACAACGGGAAAAGAAGTAGATGGTTAAAGGGAAGTGGAGTGTTAAACAAAGATCAGAAAGTAATGAACAATCCAGCCTTTCACACACACATCCTACAGGCCAGTGTGACTCTGGATTCTGTGTTTAAATGAACATCACTGTGGCAGCTAGATGATCAAAGACTGTGACCTTCTACTGTTTCCATTGTACATGTGTGTAGTATGTAAAATGACTTCTAGGTGCGTAATTCCTAGGTTGTGGAGCAAATACATTAGTGATTTTGATAGAAATACAGAAATTTCCATCTAGTTTCCCCATCCACCAGCCAAGAGTGAGAAGCCACAAAAACAAGAAGGTGACAAAAGAAGCCCTGGAAATTTCTCTAGGGAAATCCATGCCCTTGCCTATCCTACTTTTGGGGTATTATTGTTGTTTAGTTTTCTATGTAGCCTTGACTGTACTGGACTTACTCTGTAAACAAGACGGGCCTCAAACTCACAGATTGACCTAGGTCTTTGTTTTGTTTTTAACCTTCATTGCTTGGCTCATAGTCCCATCTTCAGATCCAGCAGCTCACTTGTCTCTGCTGTTACTGTGTCATCTCTTTACAACCCTGACCCAGGTACCTGTCTTCCCAGGATGTGTAAATAGGGCATGATTGTGCATAACTCATCCCAGCACTGGGGGGGATAAAGGTAGGAGAATCGGGAGTTCAAGATCTACCTAAGCGACCAGAGACCCTGCCTAAACAGAGAAATAAAGGTAGTTTCATGCTGTCCACCTAGTTAACTCTCATCTCTCAATCCTAACTTCCATCTGGTCGTTAAAGCCTTTGTTGATGTACAAGGTAACATGCACAGGTTCCAGGGATTAGGAGGTCCACGTGTGAGGGGTGAGGCAGATCAGGCTTCGTTTTTATCCAAACAGTTCTTTCTAGTAAATGGTACAAACTTTTCCATAAAACATAGTAAATTTTGGTTGTTGTCTGGACTTTCTATTTTGTTCCATTATCTGTCTGTACAAAATACATATTTTTATTTTATTTTATTTTTAATTATGTATGTCTGTATAGCTCCATGCATAGATACATGCCCAAGGGGGCCGGAAGAGACTTGAACCCCTCGGAACTGGAGTTAAAGGTTTTTGTGAACCTCCCAACATGGGTGCTAGAGACTGAAATTTAGTTCTGCAAGAACTTCAAATCCTCCCTGCAGCCATCTTCTCAGCCCCAGTTCGCCAGCACCTCATCATCAGGTGGGGCTGGGAGAAATTCAATGTTCCTGCTTGCCCTACCCCAGTCTCTACTCCCTTTGTAGTAGTACATGGCCTTCTGTTTTCAAGATTGCCCACCCTTGATACTCTCCTTCCCTCCCTGCCACCTTTACCCCTCTGTCGTGGTTTGAACGACAATGGCCTCCATATTCTTATATAGTTGAATGATTAGCCACCAGGGAATGAATTGTTGAAAAGGATTAGAAGGACTAGGAGCAAGTGTGTTGCTGGGGTGGACTTTGGGGTCTCAGAGGCCTATGCCAGGCCCAGTGTCTGTCTGTGTTCCACTACTGCAGATGGACCAGGGTGTTAGAGCTCCACCGCTCCAGCACCATGTGTGTCTCTTCCTGTCATCATCATGGACTGACTAACACTAAACAGTAAGCAACTCCTTACATAAGAGTTGGCCTGGTCATGGCGTCTCTCCACAGCAGTACAACAGTAACTGTGACACTTCCTTCCTCCCTTCTGCCCTTCCTTCCTTTCCAAAGGAGAAGCTTGTTTTGGTTCACAATCTGAGGATGAGCTGCCGGTTCCATGGCACTGTTCAGGGAACAGAGCGCACGTGTCCACTTGCCCGGTTTCAGGGTGGATGCTGCCGTTAACTACACTGGACTAGATTTGGGGGCTGGGACCCATGCTCTTGAACATGCTACCTCTTTACATCCGCTCACTCGCCTTCTTCCTGTCACCAGCACAAGTATTCAAAGCCCTGTTCATTGTACTGTTGGCGGTTGGTTTTTGAAACAGCATCTCATGTGGTCCAGGTTGTCCTTGAACTCTGGATCCTTCTGCCTCCTCAGGTGTGTGACACCATGCTCAGCTCTATGTTTTTAATATATGTATATATAGTAGAATAAAAGGCCTTGTCTATAACACTTTCTGACTACTTTTATAGATGATCATGTTCATTACTAATTATACCCTTTGCTGCTATATTCAAGAATCTTGTTTGTAGAAATTTTAGTTTTCCCGATGTACACTGTCTTCTTTACGCCTTCGCTATCTTCACATAAGTTGAATGCAGTAGGAGCCTTGTGTTTCAGAATACTCGGTGACATTCCAGAACTGACAGTGCATATAAGCAGGAGTCCATTTAGATCTCTAAGTTTCCACGCGCTTGTTTTAAACATAGACGTTCTCGAGCTTAAAATGAAAACTCCAGTGCCTTGCATTTCTCTCCCCTTGTACTCATTAGCCTGCACTGCTTTCGGTGGCTGGAGCAGGGCTCAGCTTCCTCAGCTCTGTCTTGTTGCAGCAGTGAGAGTGTTCTGAATTGTTCCTTACTTTCTTTCTTTTTGTTGTTTGTTCATTTTAGTGTTTCTTAAGACAGGGTAGCTCTAGCTAGCCTGGAATCCTCCTGCCTCTGCCTCTCAGTTACCAGGATTGCAACTGTACACCACCAGACCTGGCCAGCTCTTAATGCTTTTATTCTTCAAAAACAGTTAAATTTATCTAAAGCCTTCTCACCGTTGCCTTCTTACATTTTTAGGAACATTCTATCACAGATGACATTGGAGTGTCGACGTGGAAGGAGCAGACCTTTCTGTCCCACTGTGCCTTGCTAGCCAAGAGCTGCCAGGCTGCAATGGAATTAGCAAAGCATGATGCTGAGGTGCAGGACATGGCGTTTCAGTATGGGAAGCACATGGCCATGAGCCATAAGGTATTGCACACCCTATCTTCTGCATACAAAGTACGATAAATGCACACAGAAGATTGCTGGCATTTAATAAGCTGCTTTTATGTCTTGAAGAGTGTTTATTGTGTACGTGAAATATGTCAGTCAAGAGAGGGTAGGAGTGATATAAGCAGTATAATTGGCAAGTACTGTGTAATTTTGGTGTTTATATTTTCTTACTACCTGAAAGAATTATCAAATAATATATAATATCACCTTCACAGAATGGTAGACTACTTTTTATTTTTGCTACAGTTCCCTTGTAAATCCTTATGTAAAACAAATTGTGAAAAGTTCATAAAACTTGTACTGAATAAAAGTGATAGCTTTAATTTTAATATGTGATTTAATTTTTTATCGAAACTGGAACATAGATTTATTAAGAAAAAGTAAAAACACTCCCAAGAGTAAGAGAGGCTACAAGGGAGAAATACCTTAATAACTCATTCCTTTCAAAGACATATGAAATATAAAACATCACTAAATCCTCTACTTTGTGGTTGCTTCACTTTAAAGTTTTGGTTACCTAGGGCAGCCAGAGCTACATAATAGAAAGACTTTGTCTCAAAAACACAACGTGATATTCCCATCATTTCACTTACATACTTTAAAATGTTACCTAACTCATACAAGACAGGGTTTCATACATGTTTGTGTGTGTGTGTGTGTGTGCTTATGTCTATTTATCTGTGTGTATATGTATGTGTGTGTGTGTGTGTGTGTGTAATTTCCAGATAAACTTTTTTATTTTATTGGGTTTCCTTATTGACTAGTTGTGTTTATATCTTTATTTAAGTCTCTACATTTTATGTAAAGGAGAAGGGGCTGAGGATGTAACTCGATGTCAGAGTGACTGCTTACACATGGGTCCTAGTTTCATCACAAGAGGCATACACGTTATGAAAATTAAATTCTAAAGAATTTTAAAGACTGTTACTAAGTCATCCGGGATATTGATGTGCCGCATGGGAATACTGTGTAACTGGTACTTCCTGAATCGATACATTGTACTCATATAACTTCTCTAACTGCTCCTTCTAGATAAACTCTGACCTCCAGCCTTTTATTAAAGACAAGGCCAGTGACTCTAAGACTTTTAACCTAAACTCTGCACCTGTCGTCTTACATCAGGAGTTTCTTGGAAGAGACGTGTGGATTAAGCAGATTAGAGAGGTAAGTTGAAATTGTCCCTGGTTTTGATACCATTGATATGTAGTTGATCTTAGAACACAATCCCTGTGCATGATGGAAGCCTGTTTTCATGACAGGTGGATTCTTTATAACCTATGTGCATAAGAGGTAAAATATTAGTTATACGCTGGAGGCCACACCAGTGTGTTCACTTGCATCTGAGTGCATAGATCCTGCACCACAGCCCTGATGCCTGTGTGAATGCTAGTTAACTTTGGGGTTTTTCCTAGTGGCTTTCAGAAATTGGGCATGGTAGTAGCACCACCCTTTAACTGACTGCAGTTTTGCATTTGTGGACTCCAGGGCACACTGCACAATAACAGTAGCTCGGTCTGTCAGCTCATTGGGTTATTTTAAAACAAACGTGGGCCTTCAACACCCATCCTGAGACGTTATCAAAGGCAGAAAGATGGGGGACGTGGTGAAGTTGAAAGAATAAAGGGGTGTGTGCTGAGGGTGGCACATTAGAGGGAACGATTTGGTTTCTCTTCATATAGACACTCTGGTACAAAGACATACTACCTTTTCAATGCAGTCTCATGGGATCCATATAACTTCAGGGTTGTAATTGGCATTGTTATACTGAGTCTGTAGGTGCAGGAATGGTCACTGGCACAGCTGTGGGTAGAGATATAGAGGTAGCAGTCCTACAGAAGAGATCCTAAGTGAGGATCCACATTCTGAAAGACAAAATTTCCCCTCTCCTATCCCTCCTTCTGTACTGACTTTCAAAGTGCTAGCAGTAATCTCAAAATCCCTCATATTCATCAGAGAAAGAGAAAACTGTAAGGGTTCATTCTTAGGAAGCTGTCAAACTCCAAAGAAAGGACTAGCAGAGGGGCAGTTTGGAGATCCCTCAGTAAACATGACCAGTCACCTACAGTGACCAGTCTCAGCATGCCACATGACTAGCTGCCTTACCTGGAGAAGAATATGGAACAGAGGAACTCAAGGCATTAAGAAAACACCCCACCATTAAAGAGAGAGTCTAAACCAAACTGACAAAAGGGAACTTAGAGGAAACAGAAACAATGTGAGGGAAACAGACATTTTAGACACACTATGATAGAACCCTTACTATAATATTAAACCTTAGAAACTGGACCAGGTAATATATGAAAAAGGACAATCCCAGAACAAGAAATCAGGTTATAAAACATCAAAATACCACAGATTTATTTCATCAGAAGCTTGTGGGGCTGGGGACATAACTAAATGGTTAGGAGCACTGACTGCTCTTTAGAGGACACAGCTTCAGTCCCCGTCACCCGCTTGGCAGTTCCCAACAGTCTGTAACTCTAGTTCCAGGGGATCTGATGCCCTCTTCTGGCCTCGGGAGTCAGCAGGCACACACGTAGTACACAGCCGTACATACAAGCAAAGCACTCGTATATAAAACAAACTTGGGCCTTCAACACCCATCCAAACAAGCTTAGAATAGGTAATAAACAGCTGGGCATGGAGACCCATCCCTCTTCTCATGGGGATGAAAGCGGGACATTGTGAGCTCATGGTCTACAGGTCTCAGGAAACGTACCTTCCCTGCCCTTGTTCCTGAGAGGATGGGACATATTCCTTCAAGACAAGGAGACAGGAATGAGGATGGTTTATGCTCCATGGTATGCACAATAAAGTCTAGAAAGCAGGTGATTAAATGCAGACATGAACAATGATAAGGCCTACAATAGCAGCACCTGCCATATGTCAAATTTTGTTCCAATTAGCAGGAGTCTGAGGTACAGAGAGATCAAGTAATTATTGAAGTATCACACAGCAACCAAATAGTATACCCAGGATTCAATCCCAAGCAGGTCCACTACAGGGACAGTCCAAGTCCCTAAGTACCATGCTTCCTATGTGACATGCTAACAAGTCTTAGGCTGACGGCTATGTATGCAGGCTGCACAGAGACAAGAGGACAAAGAGCTCCAGGAGAAATCCTCTCTGTTTTGTGTGTGTGTGTGTGTGTGTGTGTGTGTGTGTGTGTGTGTGTGTGTGTGTGTGTGTGTGTGTGAGCATGTTTGTGTATGTCAGTGACCATGCACACATGGCACAGCCCACATGTGGAGGTCAAAGGGCAACCTCAGATGTCAATCCTTGTTCCCAGAATATTTAAGGTAGGTCTTTTGTTCATCCATGAGCTCCTAGAGACTCTCCTATCTCTACCTCTCCCTGTGGGAGAGCTGGGATAACAGATTATGTTCCTACATCTAGCTTTTCTAAGGGTTCTGGTGATCCAAGCTGAAGCCTTCATACTTGCTGAGCTATCTGCCCTGTCCCAGGAGAAGCATCTCTAAGAGTAAAAGTTGGAATTGATAAATTACCCAATATGCTTGACCATATTGAGTAAGAATTATAGATGGCCAGGCATGGTGGTTCACACATGTGGCCCCAGCATTTGTGGGGAGAGCAGGAGGATTAGGAGTTCAAGGTCATTCTCAGCTACATTATCCAATTTGAGGCCAGCCTAGACTACATGAGACTCTGTCTGAAAAAATAAAATAAAATAAAATGGGGGATTAGAAAGATGGCCCAGTGCTTAAAAGCACTTGCTACTATTGCAGATGACCCCAGCTCAGTTCCCAGCACCCACATGGGGCCTCACAACCATGCAGCTCCAAAGGCCCACACAGAATCAAGGGAAGAAGTCAAAGACCTCCCTCACCTTTCTATACAAGAGTGTCCAACCAGGTGGTGGCGCACGCCTTTAATCTCAACTCTCGGTAGGCACAGGCAGACGGATCTCCATGAGTTCGAGGCCAGCCTGGTCTATACAGAGTGAGTTCCAAGACAGTCAAAACTATACAGAGAAACCCTGTCTCAAAGATTCCCCTCCCCCAAAAAAGAGTATCCAAGAAATTGAGTGACAGAATTTGCCAAGGCTTGAATGTCAGTTTCTCAGAAGGCTGAAGCAGGCAGATCACAGCAAGTTCAAGGCCTGCCTGAGACAGAGTGACTTTAAGACCAAGCTGAGCAACTTAGTGAGGCCCTATCTCAAAACAAAAAGTACATATAAGAAAGGCTGGGGGTGAGTTCAGTTTTAAAGTGCTGTCCAGCATGTGTGAGACCCCAGGTTCAATCCCCAGCACTACACAATAATAAATAAACAGCCACACTGACTACATGGAATAAAATGAAGCAATTATTAGCCTATCTGTAGAGAAAAATTAAAAATGCATAAGAAGGAAATGTAATCACAATGTTCCATATGGCTTAGAGACTAATATTTATATAGCATAAAAATTTAAGTCCTGAATGTTTAATAAGAAACGGATTTTGTTTATGAAATGATGCAAATACCATTTAGAGTTAGGGAACAGTTCCCAATTTTTATTCAAAAATTATTAATCGAAATTATAAAAGTAGACTGCTTAAGCCAAAACGAGAAGAAATGAAAAGCACTCAAGAGACATCATGCAAAGTTCCACAGGATACACATGAGGCTGAAGTCTGCAGAAAGCCCACTCTGCGCTCTGGTCCCCTTCATGCTTGCCCTTCCTCACTGACTTCTTCCCTGTGTTTGCTTTCTCCTCTGATTGTTTAGACTTGCCTCTGCATTTGGGTATTTTCTCCAGCCTTTGTCCAGTTTTAGCCTGGAGATAAGCACCTTGCTCGGGTGGATGCCTACAAGAACTATTGTGCAAGTGCCTTCTCTCCCCGCACCGGATATTAATGTCATATTTCTTTCTCTACATCTGAACAGCGTGGCCATGTGCTGGCCTTTGCACTGTCTTTGAACCACCTGAATCTCATTGTCTTACCAGTAGCTAGGGAGCAGGCGTATATGGCAGCAATTCCCTGGGGAGCAGGAAAAACACACATGGCCTTCCTGCACACTGAGGGGCTTTTGAGGGGCTTTCGTGGTCACAGAGGGATTGAACTTCATTGTCCCCATCTGGCACCAGTTAGAATATGGACTAACCAAAAATTGTGATTGAATAGGAGGAAGGAGGGGAAGTGTTTGAACATGTAAGAGATTTAAGTATTTCTTTCATGTATCAATGAATAATGTCTAAAATTTTTAAATTGGGAAAGAGCGATATTTGAAAATAGAGGAAAAGACTAAAGAGAAGGACATGGGGTCTGCAGGGTGCTGTGCCTTTTTTTTTAAGAGTTTTATACTGCGTGGCTTCTAAATACTATTGTATTCGTTTTTGTTTTAAAACTATAATTTCACTTCTAGTCCTCAGTCATAAGAAAATTTCTATCTAGAGATGTGGGCAAACATGCTAAAATATTGATTGTAAAAGGAAGAAAATTAAAATTGACCCATTTAAGAATGTGTAAGATGGGTGTGATGACTTACACCTGAAATCCCAGGAAAGAAGTAAGAGGAATAGGAGTTCATGGTCATCCCCAGCTTCACGAGACCCTGCCTCAAAACACAAACAAATACATGAAAAAGATGAGTGAAGTATGAGACGGTGAACTGTCACACAGCTGAGGTTGTGTGTGAGGTTATTTTCACAGCTGAACTTTATATATGCATATATATATGCATACATGCATGCACACACACACATGTATGCACAGATGGTGCTACTAACTCAAATTGGGTTGCATTAGAATACATTGCAGATTTACATTTTGGTTGAGAGATAGACTGAATAAGTTAAATGAAAGCTAGCAGCTCTCCCTTGGAGTTAGAGGTATTTATGAAGTCATAACATAGATATGAATTTTAGGGGAAAGCATGCCAACACTCAGATTTTTGCAGACATGCATAGTTGTAAATCTACACAAGAGTGGTCCAGGAATTCCTGAACAGTTGATGAGATGTCCTGAAACCTAAGTCATTATCCCCAGACTGATTTTAGATTTAAAGGGAAACGATTTGGAAAAGCATGTCTCCTGAGCATCAGCTCGACTCAGATGGAGCTGGTGTAGAGGCCGGAAGCACGGAGATAACGCTGTGAGCAGATGTTTCCACCCTCTGCTCCAGGTGCCTTATGGGTACTTCTCAGTCCTCATCCTGAGGGCAA